GGCGCGGGGGAGGTCGTCCGGGGGGTGTGGGGGTGTGGAAGGCCCTAGGTGCGCCGCGCCAGCCCCCTCCCGGCGGAGCGGGGGAGCTGGTGCTGCAGCGCCGCGGCCCCGGGCCGGGGGAGGGGCCCCGGACGTCGACGGCGCGAGTGTTGGAGCGGGTAGAAACAGCTGCGCTGGGCACGGAGCTCCATCCTGAGAAAAATAAGTGCCTTTTTTGGCGTGGCCCTGGCCGTTCTGAACCGCAGAAGTGTGCAGGTAAATGCGGTGTATTGATGATGTGAGTCATCTTTTATATATATAGTAACAAGTGCTTGTGACTCAGCACGTTGGCAGCAGAAATACGTACATTGGGGATGTTCTGGAAGCAGTATGTAATGTGCGTGAGATCCTCGCTGCCTCTGCGGAATTAGTCTCTTATGTATCAGTCCTATGTGCTGGTTAAACCCGTGTTAGTTTTACAGACTGCTTTTCCAGTGTCTCAGTGCTTGATCATTCTACCTGATCAAATGTAGGGTTGCGTACAGTTTCAAAGGATGTGGTTGTCAGCTGCTCCCCTTGAGTCCTGAGTTTCCTTTCCTGGTGTTTCTACTTTTGTTGAAACACAAAATACCTGTGGATCTACCCCCAGTTAGTCAAGAGAGGATAAACTGTTGGCAAAGCTCTGATACATAGAAGTATAATCAAACCCCATCGTGTTCATTTCTAAATGTGTTTTAAAGGCCTTAGTCAAAACAAGCAACTTGTTGAAAGCCAGTGCAGATAATATTTGAATTTTTAGATGATTTCTTCTCACTTGACATGACTATACTAAGTTCATAAAAGGAGAGAATTTTTAGAAGGCTGTTCCTGGACAGTGGACTAGTCTGATATGTCTGTAATCTGACTTGCTTAATTCTGTTTTCATCCTTATTAGTGTGTACTGCTGACTTTAGTACTTATTTTCTAAAGCCTTAACTTTTAGCACAGTTATTCTTGCATTTCTTGGGAACTTTCCCTCTCAGACACCACTTAAAAATGCCTTGATAGTTTCCAGATTGGGATGAAGAGAGGGTGGGCTGAAACATAAGAATGTGTAAAACTGTGCTGATGGGCAGTTGCATTTATCTTGGCAAAAGCCTTCTCCCCACTTCTGTCTACAGAGAATGCAGCACCCTGTTGGTTTGCTGGTTGTGGTTTCACGCCAGTGAGGCACCTGGTGTGGGTTCCCCGGTGGTCTGGCAGTACGGCCATTTTGACTGTACTGGTGTGGGTGCTGTTTGGTGCTTGGTACTGCAGGATGAAGGGGTCCAGCCTTGTTGTTTGAGAGCAAAGAAATGGGTTCGTATTTCATCCAAATGCAGGTGCATAAAGACATTTAACTGCTGTGGCTGTGATTTGGGCAGAGCTGGGGGAAGCTTTTGAACAGGTGACCCTTTGGAAGGGCTTACCTGTAGGTGATTTGTAGCAGCAGACTAACCCATAGCTTTATCTGTATAAGAGTGAGATATGCCCTCTTGACCCTTAAACAAGCTGCTGAGTCTACTGATCTTTCAGGAGAACAATACCTTTTATTAGACTCCCCGTATGGACTTCCTTGATTACAGGTAACTTTTGAAGTCTTAAGTGCCTAAAACTGTAGTGAAACTTCTGTTTAGTGGAGTTCACCCTCGGTAAGACACTCCCGCTTGGCTGGAGAGGTATAAGAAAGTCTCTGGTTTCATGCAGTGTGTGCAGGCTGAGCATGTGTTTAAATAAGTAACATAACTGTGCAGGATTTTGAGCTCTAGTCTGGTATTTTTTGTAAAGTGGGTTTCAATGTCTTTAGTTCTATTTCAGTATTGTTAGTTTCACCGAAGTCTGTCAGAGGCTTAGAAAAGGTGGCGAGTGGTTTTGTTTGTTTGCTTTTTAAAAAAAAAAGTCTAGCACAGTTTAAATGGAGCCAGAAACGTAACTGGTACAGCTAACCAGTATTCTGACTGCATCTGGATAGTCTGGCTTTGCTCTTTGTTTGAGATCCTTTCCATCTGTCTGTGTCTTCTACCTGGTCACCTGCATGGTTCAAAGTTACCTCCTATCTCTGTCTCTAAACATCCTTTTCTGGATGCCTGCCAAGTACCTGGTTCTCTTCTGTCGTCTTTCCTGAGCATATTGTGCAAGTGCTGTTTTATACCCCATTTTCTTTAGATTTCTTTTTTCCTTCTCAGTCACTGGCTTTGAGTGTGTAGGGCAGCCCTTCTCTGCATCAGCTCCCAGTAAATACATACAGGTCCTCTACTTCTCAGTCAGCTTTTTCTCCAGAAAGTCTTTACGACTTCCCCACTGTGTGGTAAGAGAACTCAGAAAAATATTTGAAAAAGCACAAAGAGGGGTGTCAGGTTAGTATTAAGAACTGCGTTTTAGCCCCTGCATCTTGGATCTGCCATGGATTCCTGGGATCAAAGCTCACTGCAAGGTAATACTGAGTACTTCTGTTTTGGACATTATGAAAAACTGTTACTTTATGAAGGAAGTCACAACAGAGGTACTACTATTTAAATTCTAGAGTTCCAGCAGTAAGTTATGTAGCATGCTGCAAGTAAAATTACTCCTTTTTAAAATCTGCTGCCTCATCAGTTTACTACTAGCTACTGTATTTGGATTGTATCTGGTTTTGAAAGCTGTTTCTTTAATAGCAAGATGGACAACTTTTCTCAGTTGAGCTGATTTGCATTTGTTTTGCAAGTAAACAAGAAGTTTCAGTACTCTTTCCTCTTATAGTAGAGGAAGAAATAATAGGGAAAATTGATTGCAGAAGGGAAATTTCAAAACTTAGTAATGAACATACTGATAATGGAGGGGATGCAGAAAGACAATGTAGTAAAGCAAATGTAGGCTGAGTGTCTACTCAGTCTTGCTGTTCTTAGTGGGCTGCTAGAAATCAGGGAACTTAAATACTAGATTAGAGAATCCAGCTTGATGAACCTGTAGAAAACAAACACTGTCACTTTCCTGTAAGAATACTGTTGTAAAACACTAACTCTGAAAGCCAGTGTGCTTGTGCAACCCCTGTGTGACTGCAGCCTGGGGCTCCCTGGTTTGTGCCTTACCTGGTAAGGTTCTGAGGGTGACTTGAGCTTGTGACAAGGACATGAGCAATTTCTTTAAAATAAAGCACTGCTTTAATGGTAAGTTTCAAAATGGAAAATGGGTCCCTAAGAGTGATAGCAGGAGTAGGGCTTGCATCAGTGATGCTGTAGCACAGGTGTTCAGGTTAAATCTTCATAGCTGCCAACCTGGCAATACCAGCTCTGCACTCAGACTTGGGGATTTATACTCACTGCATGGTTTTAAGCTGATTCTGCTGTTTTGCTTGTTTGGGCCACCAAGTCTATCTGACAAGACTCCAGCATCACTTTCTGGAAGTCATGGAAATACTAAAGTGAAGAGAAGTCCACACCTTGTCTTAGTTGGCTGTTACGTGTTATGTCAGTTTGTTCATGGCTTGGGCTGTAACTTGGATCAGTAGGTCTCGATGGTGAACGGTACATGAAGAAGCACGAAGCTGCCAGGTTTTTTATTGAAGCTTTGTGTTATGAGTTACTGGTACTGTTGGAAAATCGTTCCTCATGTTAGAGTGGATTGGTTAATTGTACTGAAAGGGTGATTAGTGCGCCTTTAATTTGCAGCAAACAAAACATATGTGCTCATCCGAGTCAGCTGATCACTTACCTTTCTCTGATAGAGGTGGCCTCAGCAACATGCTGTTTCAGTGCTCACTACCCGATGCCATCGAGACAGTGGCAGATGAACCACGGAAGGTTCTCCTGCGCTTATATGGTGCAATCCTGCAGATGGTGAGTACGGGGAGTGCTTTGGGAGTGGGAGGGTTTCTGTAGCTTAAGTGTAATGTGTTTGGAGGTCGTAATTTGTGACACACTGCACGCGTGTGCTGCTCTGGCCTTTTGGGGGTGTGTCCTAGCAGTAGCAGGGTAGAAGGCTAGCTTAAAGCCATTTTCTTTGTAGTTTGTTGTTGTCTAGAACTTACACTCCTCTCTGTACAGATCCTGACTGGCATGTATCAGCAGAAGGCTCATTTGCTCTCCATTTGATCAGTAATATTTTGTTTATGGTGTTAAGTTTGGACTGTGGTGTTTCAGAGAAGTTAAAGTTTGTTCTTGTACAGTGTGTAGGACTTCGGCATAACTAGCAAGATTGCAAGAGACTAAACTGCTTAATTTTAACCTTGGTAGTACCTATATGAGTCTTGGAGATTAAAGTTGAAGGTTTTGTCAGCACTCGGCGCTCAAGTATTTTATTAGATCTCATGGGTAATTGTGTTGCTGGAAAATTTGCTCTGTAGCGTTAGAACGAAAATGAAGCACAAACATCAATACTGTACAGCCATCTCATTCCAAAACATGCTTTCCTAAATGTGTGATGTGCCTCATAGCTGGCATAGAAGCTTAAGCAGATGTTTGTCAAACTTTTAATGTTATTTTTTTTATTTGGTTAGTAAAAGATCAATAGCATTGAAATTTGTCAGACCTTAAGAGAAATGGTTGGCAAGTTTCAAAATTCTTGATTTTAAGCCTGACAATATTTCATAAAGGTGACCTCTTCTAAAGCGTACAGGCTGTTACCATGGGACTGTACCGCAGATCTTCTCTTACCCATCCCTCCTAGACACTTGATTATATTGTAAATAAATAATCATAATGTGTTTAACCTTATGAAAAATTGCACCTTCATAAAAATACATTTGGATGTTGGCAGTTGTTGCTATTTGACTTAGAGGGTCTGGTTTTATTATCCATTAATTTGATATTTTTCTGGTACTCAGTCACTTGCTTTGAATAACTGATCCAATATCTGCAGGACATTGGCTGTTCCTGAGATTCCGGCCCATTCTTCTGCTGCCTTGACCAAACTTACTATTAAAACTCTCATTGGATACTGTCACTTAACTGGCTTTAAAGTGTTTGTTCGTTATACTATGCAAGGTATTAACTTTCCCATGGTAGAGAACTTTACCAGAAATACGTAAAAGATTCCAGTGGCTTGCAACGGCATGAAATGCTTGGCTGCACCACTGCGTGTGTGTTGGGAAAGTTAAACTATTAAACAAGAAAAGCGTGTAGAAGTTCATTAAATGAAGCTTAAATAATCTTGCCTTTAGTTTAAGAGAAACAAAAAGCAAAGTGAAAAAAAAATGGTGGTGAGAAACTTCGCTTTTGAAATGACTCCTAGGGTTGATGCTGAGAATTTTTTTCCAGAATTAATGGCTTTAATGCAATGCTGACTTAATATGTAGAAGGCTTGAGTAGGAACCTGGGCTGTAAAACTGCTGTGGTGGTAGAACTTCTGTTGCCCAAGAGCTGTGAAGGAATGTGGCTTTTCCCTTATATTTCAAAGGAAAAGTAAAGTAGGCTCTAGAATCTGGTTGCCCTCCTCTTCCCTCAGGGTGTTTTTTTAACTTGCCTTTTCTGTGCCCCTATCCACTGAAGAAATCAAAATAAAATTTTGGGCTCTACAATCAGAACTAATTTGGTTTGAAAATTGAAAGTGTGTTCATAACTTTCTAACCTTTCTACTCTTGGTGTTGAAGGATCTTTTGAGATGTCTAACTTCCTTTATTTCCGTAGTGGCAGTGAAATGACTGCTCTTGTTGGTGCAGTTCACTAAAGGTTAAGTAAGCAGAGAAAGTCCCAAGGTAAAACTTTCAGATTGCATTGAGGTTCACAATTTTTGTCGACAAACATTTGTCTCTTCCAGCCCCTCTACCTTAAATGCAAGTTAAAATATAAGCAAACTGTTTTATTGGGGTATTTTGAAAACCTCACTTAGGATTCTTCTGAATTTCTGGGTGGCATAAGCAGAATGTTATGACAAGCCTGTCAAGAGGGAGTAATTTGATATTTTTTAGTAATGTTGCTTACGTTTAAAACCCTGTAGAAATTAAGGGACACTGCTTAAATAAGTTGAGTTTTGAGACTTTATGCTAAAATCAGAGCTTAATTCTCGATGAGTTAATTGTACCTGCCACTGGGTATTAGTAGTTACCACTTGTTTGTTTGAGCTGTTGTAGCATGTTTTAACTCTTGTCCATTTTACTTCCTGTTGAAATTGAAGCACAAACCAATGATAATACTTCTTATTTACTGTAAATACCCTAGATCTGTAGCAATCTGCACCAAATTGTTCTATGTACAGAAGACAAGTTTAAGTTAAAATCTTGAATAGAAGTGAAAAATGGATACCTGATACTAACTAAAGAATGAAGGATACTGGCACCATAATTCTTTGAGCCACCTCTTTAAAGGAACCTTTTTTGCAGTTTGAAAATAGCCCCAGTTTGCTTATTATGACTCTTGGAAGACACAAATGTCAGTACATGAAACTCATCCAATATAAACCATGCCAGCTGGCTAAAGCTGCCACACAGGGAAGGCTTTGTGCCTTCCTCTGTCATAGCTGATATGTTTAAGCAAATTTTTTGTGTGCATGACTGTTTCGGGGGGAGTTGGGGGGGAGATGAACTGAGCTGGCTCGGCCATTGTTATGAATGGTCACACTGGCATGGATGTTTAAAAATCAAGGACTTCTCTTGAGTGTATCCTTGAGCAGAACATTTTTAAGACAAATATTTGTGCTTGTGACAGGTTAAAGTACTAACCACATTAAAACTCAAATGTTTGAGGCACAATGCAGATATGTTCTACATTGAAAAAAGGGGAAATGTCTTACTCTGCTTCACTTATTCTTGCTCCAGCTTAGTTGCTAAATTTAAAGGGGAGCATTGAAACCTCATGATGAAATGTCTTTAACTGTTGGCTATGTAAGTGTTAAAAACAATGGAAACAAGAGGTTTTCCAACAATATGCTGTTTCATGTCCAGACTTTAAGACTGGATTTCACATGCAGATCGTTGTGATATTTCTACTTAAATTCAGAACAACCAAAACTCCCCACATCTCAGAAAACACTGACAGGATTTCAATAAGATAGCATCAACAAAAAAAAACAACCCTCAAATTAAGGTGAATTTCTTCAAAGTTCACCTATCAAAAGGTAACTTGGGGATTGATTCCCATTCTTGTACACATGTCAAAAGAACCTTGAACTCTGATTCACTGGGGCTCTGTTACTTTGCACCAGCCAAAACAAAATCTATGAATGAGGAAAACCAAACCAGTATAGCTAATGTTCTACTCTGGTCTCTCAATTTGTATGTGAACAGACACAAAATAAGTATAAATGGTTGCCACAGTTCTGTGGTAAATCTTTTTCCATACCTGCCTTGCTGCCTTTTATTTTTGTAACTAAATAAAATGCAGACTGCTGTGTAACTGTAATTATCAACGTCTTCTGTGGTTGTTGGTGTCCATGTCTGTTTGTAGCATGGAGTAACTACAAATCCCTGGCACTGGCAGACGGCTTGAAAGAAACCAAGCACCTTACGGGGATATGTTTGTGTTGGGTGGCATTAAGGGTGTTCTGGGGGTAATGTACCACTTTAGTTGTATATGCATGTGTTCTCTGCTGCAGGCTTGCCCATGCGATCGTGCCTAGAGCACTCTGGTTTCCAGGTGACAGACACGATTCACGGTATAGTATGAGATCTCTGAAGTTGGAGCATTCTCTACAGCTTTCATTTTCTTTAGTACTGGATTTCATTGTTTAAAAGTAAGGCTTAAGTAGCACCAGCTACTGTCTGTGCATCTGAATGTTTACAGCAGTAACAAAATACCAAAGTACTGCCCCTTCCTTTCCTCTGCTCCCTCATAAGAGAATGGTAACTTGAAATGAAGAGGATTAGAGATGTCTTTGTGGCTTTTGTAGGGCTTGAACTGGGAGTTACTCTTCACACACTAGAGTCTAGGACTTCAGAAAATTGGTATCGGTTCCTTCAGGTCTGGCAGGCATCAGTGATCAACGGCAGATTCTTAGAAGCAGAAATAGTTACTGCAGAATCTAAACCTGTTTGTGTTCCTGTCCCTTGAAGTTCAAATTGAGCTCTTCCGCCAGCTTTTCCAATTAAGGAAAGTTTCCCCTGCATAGGTTGCCTCTAACTTCTCAGGCAGTTCCATGTAATGTTGCAATTCCTTGGGATCTGAATTTCTAGGAATTTGTCTAAATCAAAATATTACAGTATTTTGAAGTCTGGAAAACAACTAAAGCTGACTAAACTCAGAAAAGTGGATTTAAATTTGTGAGGAGAGCTAAGAGTTATTTGGGGGGAAAAATGTTGCAAGTTCCTTCTCTCTACAGAATTCTGCCAAGCCTCATTTGGGATTTTTGATACAGAGCTCATCTCCCAGCTATGGGAGAAATAAATTTGGGACAGTAAGGAGAAAATTAAGAAGAATTCAATTTTATGTGTCAAACTGCCAGATGTATAAATGCTGTCTGGTCATCTTCTGATCACAGATCAGATAATCTGCAATGTCCCCTGTTCTAGGACTTTCATCTTGTACCTGGAGCTTCCTGCCTTAAAATCAATTTACATGATCACAAAGTGGACTCTGTAACGACTTTTGTTGTCTCTGTGCATATAGCTGTCCTCCCTTACGAAAATTGCAGTGGGCTTTCTTAGTCTGCTTTGAGAATAAACCTTTCCACAATAAAAGCACCGAACAAATATTTAAAGAAATCTTAAAGATGTAGACCATGTGTCCGTTTCTAGGTAATATTTCCATAGGGCAATTAGAAACCTCCAGCAGTTCTTCAGTTATGCTCTTATTTGGGTAATTAAAATCTCCTTGTTTCTGTTGGAGTCAAAAGCTCCCAGAATTGGACATAAGTTGGAGTGAGCTATTGGAGTTCATGGAAAAATTGAAGTTTTGACTGGTTTAGCTAAGAACACATAAGCTGAATGTGTGGATCAAATGGCCCATGGTATGAGATGTTTCACTCTGAGCCACTGTTCTCATAGGTGGTTGTGCAGTCAGAAACCAATCAAATCCCACCATCTGTTAAACTCTTAAACTCTTGAACTTCAATTACATGAAATTGCATCCTGCTTACTTTGTTCCCTGTGACCACACATGCTGGAGACTTTCCTAATTGTAGGCTGGGGACATGGCCACTTGTGAAGACTGATCCTCTCCAAGCTCCCATTCGTATTTACAAGTTATTTACAAATTATTTTGCATTTATTCTCCCCTGGACACTAATGCTCCATGCTGAGGGAACAGAAAAGAGGAAGGGATGCCGCAGAAGTCTCCTTTTCTGATGACTCTGCAATACACGTCCCGAACTGTCTCTTTCTAGTGGCACAGCAGGTGCCATTAGGCATCTCCAACACTGATTTGAGGTGGACTCTTAGAACTGGCTAGCTTTTTATACAGTATGACTTCTGGAAAGCAGATGCCAGTTCAGGTTTTAGGGAAAAGCCTAATCTGCTTACCTTCTGATGAACTGAACCATTCTGAGAGCACCATTAATCAGGAAAGACTCCTGGATGGTGAGTAACTTTCTGACTGTTCAAGAAAATTCTGTAAGATGCGAGAGTGGTATTGATGTAGGACATGCTTGTTCAGAGAAGCCATCTGTAAATGACTTTAATGCTGTTGAGTAGTTATGCATTTAGCTTTAGTGAATACGTTTTGAATTTAATAATTTCCTTGAAAAGAATATAAACTAATAGTAGTTTTCATATTGTCTTGTTTTAAACTTACTGTCCTATAGTGGAATGGGAACTACTTGCTGAAAGACCATCGATTCACGTTAACTATACTTCTTCTGTAGCTTCTGAAATATTGTAACTGCATAGCTTGTGTAAATCATTAGCTTGTTGTATTGTACTGAAGGCAGCTGGTGTGGCTTAACTGTATTCATTAAGTTCATATTTCCACCCTTGCTTTGGACATGTTAGAGCTTTGGAACAGAAAGGTATGCACCCGGTTTATGCTCACATGGTTTTGTTCAGAAGGTGGAGATGCAGGCTACCTTTATGGGCCTCTAAGGCCAGTCTGGTTTTTAAACAGTCAGTGGTGGAATTGCAACATAAATAGCAGCCACAAACTGTCGCTAGTTCTAAGCAAATACTTGCTTTCTCTTCTCCTTACCTTCAAGCCCTTTAGAGGACAAGGGTTTTATTACATCTTGAATTTTAAATGTGCAGCTCTATTAAAAGCATGTGCCACTGAGGGTTCAGTTGCTGAGGGTATGGTTTGATACTCTGCAACTGCTTTATAATGACTGTTAACAATCCCAGCACAATACATTATGCATGGAATTTGTTAAAGTTTTGCCAGTATACCACAGTTCTTACGGAGACATCTTTAGTTTATGTGGACAGTTCATTTGAAGAAAAATCTTGGATTTGCACAACCAGTGGTACATTGCACATGTAGCCTAGACAGCATACTGTAAGTAAGGAAATTCTAGTCACAAGAAATATGGAAAAAAGAGAATAGAAAAAAGCAAGCGCTTTGCAAGCATCATAACGTGCCTCTTCTGATAGTCCTTCTAAGGCTTTTTTGTCATCTCTGTAAGGTGTCTCTTAAGTGCTTTAGCTGCAGGAAGAATATCGTTCCAGATGTCATGCAGAGGGACTTAATTTTCTCTTAATTAAAAATGTTCCTCTGATCTTATGATACATTGACATCTTGTTTTGAAATGCTGGCAAACAATAAAAACGTAGTTGAAAATTAGCTCTCTGGCTCTTGACAGGAGTGACTTGGTCTCAGTGGCACATCCTTTTGAAAGATTTTGGATTGTTGCAATAGCGTGGTGGTCAGAGGTGAGATGGATGCTAGTGTTGTAGCTGTCACAGATCAAGACAGTGTTGAGGCACCTAGTTAATTGTAGCTGGCACTTCTGTTCCCTTTGTTCTGGTGGTTGCAGGTTGATCATGTTAAATTTCATCTTCTCATTGTGTTTCCTTTTCTCATTCATAGAGGTCCTGTAATAAAGGAGAGTCTGTACAGTCTCAGAAGGAAAATGACTTGCAAGTGAGTAATTAAATTTGCCTGTTTGACAGAATTTTATAGATGTCTGAGATGTGGTGATTCTCCTTGTTGTAAACAAAGTTCCTCCACCAGGTGTCCCGGCTGTGTCTCTAGAAACTGTAAACAGCAATGGAGAAAATAAATCTGGTTGCTTATAGAAGTAACACTGTAACATCAGTGTCTGTACATAGTTTGGAAAGTTTTAAGCATTCCCTGTTAACAAGAAACACCCTCCCCGATTGCACCCTAAATGCTTTCTTACCATTTCTAACATCGGTGTCGGCTGTTTCTCATACCGGGCTCTTCTTTCTTGAGCAGAGGGAGGTCAGTGCTTGGTGTTACCTAACCTCTGCTTTGGAACATGTTGATGAGCCCTTCTGAGGCAAGTGTATGGGGCTGGAGAGAACTTTCCCTTGACCACGAAGTGTTTCTGATTAGCATTGTGCTTGGATCATCTGTGTTCTGCAGACTTTAAAGTTGTTGCATTTGGAACCATTTCCGCTCATGCAGCGTGATGGTTAGCTGAGTGTAATTTTTCATAAAAGTCATCTGAACAGAATTTGGTAGTTTGGGTTTCTACCCTGGCAGTATTTTTTTTTGGAAAGGGATAACATTGCAGCATGTTAGCCAGATGCTTTGCTTGTTAGGTACTGTCAGTTTTCAGCTCTGTAATGGTTTTGGCAGTGATTAGGGAGAAGTACGTTTTACTTGTTCAATCAGTGCTGCTTTTCTCCCCTTGTATTTTCTGCCTTCTGGAAATGCCATCTGAAACAGTTCAAGCATTTGTTTTTTTTCTAGTGAATCAAAACAAGGTTTTAAAATTTTTTGTTGCTGAATGACTGCTTTTGAAGTTTTGTTGAACTTTCAGTTAAGTTTACTGGAACAGTTTCAATCAATCGAACCAAGACCAAACTGCAAAATGTACTGGTTTGGTTCCTCAGCTTTCTTCAGATATTCTTACGTTGCTGCTTTTAGATAGTATTTGCCTGTGCTTTTTAACCTTGAAGCAGCTCTTCCATGGGGACATGCAGCCAGCCTTGTTAACGCTGCTGACAGAGAACTGAAAAAAGTACTGGTTTGATTCATCAGTTTTCTTCAGAGATGAAAAAAGGAGGTGGCTTGATTTCTCCCCTGCCCCAATCCAGTAAAAAAAAAGTTCCTGAAGTTATACAAGAAAACAAAAGTCCAAACAAGCCCTGCTCTGGTGCCAGCACCTCAGAAGTTTTGCAGTACAGGAAGGAATGGTCTTCATTTGTTGCCTGAAAACAGTGATTCTGTGCTGGTGGGTTACTGTTTTCTGCTATTAATCTCATAGTGCTGCAACTTCACTGTTGGATTCTCCTTGCCCGAATGGGAGTTGCATACTGGAAAGATCTTGTAAAGAGTGTTTATAATTCTTAGGTTTGACGTGCAACATTCAGCTCTAAGGATTCATTTAAAAGTGTGAGTGGTCAGATCTTCTCCAGAAGCTTGTTTTAAATACAAGTGCTGGTGGTTACATCTGTTTGATTAAAATTGAGAGTTTCAGAGCTTAAAACAGCAGGTGCAAGTCTATTGCAAAGTATTTGAAGGCATTGAGATACTTGGTAATGATGCTTGAACCTTTAAAACAGCGATCAGGTGACCATTTAACTGAAGAGGTTAATCTGTGTCCAGATTGAAGTATGCTGTAGAATTTTCGAACATCCTTCAGTAGTTTATTTCCACACCTATGCTTGACAGTGGTGTGTGGGGTGGACACTTGGTAAAAGGTCCATCAAGTAGGAGAAGCCTTTGTGCCTGAGATAGGTATAGATGGTATTATTGCAGAGCGCCTGTTGGACTTGGTCCCAAGTGACTATTCTGTTACAGCAGAGGAGGTTGGGGTTTTTTGTATCAAGAGTCAGGCACTAGAGCACTCAAACCTGAATATTCTTACATTGCTGCTTTTAGGTAATATTTGCCTGTACTTTTTAACCCTGAAGCAGATCTTCCATGGGGACATGCAGCCAGCCTTGTTAACGTTGCTGACACAGGGTTACAAACTCGCAGTCGTGGAGTTGTGGATTATCTGAAGGTTCCAGATTTTTAAGCGTAACTTAAAAGACGAGGGCTAGGCAGATGCAGGGTGGAAGTAACCCAGAAGTACACTGTGGAGTAATTGGAAGTGTCACGCTTCCTGGTTGTCACTTCTGATACATTAAGGGACGTCTTAATGAAGAACATTTCCTTGGCACTTGCTATCCAAGTATCAGAAGTTGTTTTTTTCAGTAAGATGTTAAAACAGGGAGCTGACATCTTAATGGGAGCAGCCAACAGGACTGCTGTAAGCAGACTCTGAAACACCCTGGTGTCATACCAGGCACAGATGCAGCACCGACTGGTAATGGAGTAGACCTTCAGTAACTTGCATCTAACTTGCTTTTTTGCTGCTTGGCCTTAGGCTTCAGACCAGAACTGAAAAGTTCAGATCTGTGATGGTGAGAGCGTGTGAAATGATTAAGTACATATTTTTGGTGCATTAGTTCTGCTTTGAGGAGTTGAGGTGGAAAAACAGTGGCAGACATGGATGCACATTCACATGCAAATCATCTTAAACTCCCAGTTGGTGTTCTTGATGACTCTTTCACTTTTTATTGAAGTTAATGCTTCAGAACACGGTTATACGAGTCCTTCCTACGCTTCAGTATGAAATGCTAGGATTTCTTGAAGGTGCCAGAATAATGTGTGGGTCAGTAATAAAAATAACTTGTCAGTGGAACTGCCTGGAGCATCCTCAAGAGTGGAACTTTACAGAAGGAGATCCTGTCTGAGACTGCAGTGACTACGGTAACACACAAGGCTCTGTGGTCCAAAATCTCTGCGAGCTTTCTTAATTTTGTGTGCTCAGTTCTGATGCTTTTAAAAGTGTCTTTTGGACTGACTTTGAGATGAGTTGCTCAAAAGGAGGCAGAGGCTTAGCAGGTGTCTAGGATTTGAGTACAGCTGGATTCTGGGTAACATCACTGCTAGAAGTGGTGATTTATGCTGAGGTGTCTGTGTTTACTTACAGCTAATCTTACCCATCAAGGAAGCCATACTTCAGTGATTTTTCACTGTATTTTTGAGACTCATTTCATGTTTCTATCAGTTTTTGAACATTCCTATTAAAAAGCTGTCTGCTTGTGGCTGTTACGGACTGAGTTTACTGATGCAAGGAAAACCTTGAAGAAAAGTTACTGAAACCTGAGGCATGTTTGGAGGTACAAAAGGAAGAATGTTTATTCACACATACATGTTCCTTAGGAATTTAAATTGTTCTCTCAAAACCACACCAAATACCAAACAAACAAAAGCCCTAAAGTGTGCTTAACAGAAACAAATCCAAAGTCATTCTTCTAAAAGAAAAATGAGTTCAGTTGTTCACTTTATTCACTTGCAGAGTTAAAATGTCCTTTTGTGAGGCAGTGTTCTGAAATGTGTTAAAATAGCCAAGG